AATTAATGTTTTCTATCAAAGCGGGAAAAATGAACTTCTATTTTAAAAACTATTTGTGAATAGAGCCTCGTTATACTGCCACCCTCTGGTGTTTTGTCTAACTTCTACCTACCACCTTCCATAATGAGGATTGTGCTGTGCTATAGTGGAAATAGCAACAAAACTAATGGGTTTCTATTTTAAAATCCGTAATCCATGAGCCTTCAGATCTCAGCTGTTGGAATGCAACCAGTCGCTGACAGCCACAGGGGCAGGCAAATGCAAATCTGGCACAGTGGCTAAACACTCTCTTTGACAACCAAAGGAAACCATTTGCAAAAATGTTTGGCTACAATTGAGTCTTCTTACGCAGATACTGTAGCTTATTTTCCACAATTTGTATGTATCTGGATCCACTTAAAAAAATTCCATTAGTTAAGCATGGCGCACAGCATTACTTCAAAAAAATTCTGTTTTAGATTTACAAGATGAAAGCTAAAAGCCTTTAAGTGTGACATTTGTAACCACAAGTCCTTCATTCTAATAATGTGTTAAAATGGCCCATTTGAAGGAATTACATGATTGCTTAATTTGGGGATTTTATTTTTTTTTAAAAATGCTTTCAAAGCAGAACAAGCATCCATGGAATAATAGTTTGTGATTTCATGAAACTTCAGGTACATATTTAACCAGAATGAGTAACAGAGTAAAGAACAAATTTGTCAGTTTAATTTTATCCCTGCATTCCTGTAGATGCTTACTTCCATGTTTGCGGTTTAAACAGGTCTATTGTCATAAGTGCCTTGAAAAACAGAGTGCTCAAAGCTGACCTTATTGTTAACAGCATCTGGCACAGTCCTATCCTGTATCACAACTGTGGCTCAAGACTGAACATGTAGAAGATTTCAGCAATATTGACAAGAGGTACAAATCCTCCTAGATCAATGTTTTACTGTATATTGGGGACTTTAAAAAACTGTGCAAGATCCTGGTTGTGGTATGAGTACCTTTGTCGCCCTGTTATGATACCAGCAGCCATCTTTCATTATTCTTTGATTACTGGATTCTTAAATGGAGGCACACACAGTAGATGTTTACCTACTTGAGGGGTGACCATCTTGGGGGCATAGATAAAGTGAATGCCAAGGGTCTTTTCCCAGGGCAGGAAAGTTCAAAACTAGGGGGCATATTAAAACGAGAGGAGAAAGGTTTTTAAAAGGGACACAGCGGGCAACTTCTTTACACGGAGAGTGGTTTGTGTGTGGAATGAACTGCCAGGGCATGAATTGATGCAGCTACAGTTACAACATTTAAAAGACATTTGGATAATTTCATGAATAGGAAAGATTTGGTGGGACATGGGCCAAGCGCAAGCAGGTGAGTCTAGTTTCGTATAACATGGTGGTGTGGACTGATTGGACCGAAGGGTCTGTTTCCATGTTGTCTGCCTCTCTTCACCTTTGCTCAAGTCATTGACTCATGCAGAAGAGTAGTTTCATGGGGTTTAAGTATTCTGGTTCCTTCTTTGAATATCCAGTTTTGACACAACAGGATTCTGATTGAAGATAACAGGACAGCCCGATTTCTTTCCCTACCTCCTGGCAGATCCATACTTTCCAGATAGGGTCATAGAATGTGGGCAGGAATACAGACTTAGGACGACCTTGTTCCTATCATCGGGGAGTGGATGCAAATTATAGAACTCCATTAGCAACTTATTTTAGAGAGGTCATAGAACAGTATAAATACAATAAGAAATTCAAGGAACACTTTATTTTGAACGTGGAACTCACTACAACAAGTAGCTGAGGTGAATATCAGATGTTTTTAATGAGAAAGTTATGTAAGTACAAGACAGAAAGAAATAGAAGGTTATGATAATCGGAAGAAAAGAAGAAGATTGGGAGGAGGCTCATGCATAAGTACCAGCAAGGTAATAAAAACCAAAAGAACTGCGGATGCTGTAAATCAGGAACCAGTTCTGAGGAAGGGTCACCGGACCCGAAACATTAACTCTGTTCTCTCCGCCACAGATGCTGCCAGACCTGCTGAGCTTTACCAGCAAGGTAATGCTTTGGTGCTATAACTATTTTGTAACTTATAAAGTCCCTTAGCTGAAGAAACGATCTTGAAATAAAACATCACAACCAATCTCAGATTTTAGTCAGTAGCACTGAATAATTTACATAAATTAAAGATTTAAGAGAGTTGGCTATTTGTTGAAATTAACACCCCAGTCATTATTTTCATGCAACAAAGGATAAATGAAGCCCACTATTAGGTCTTTCAAAGCACCTGACTGTATCATGAAACACAGACAATTCAGATTGAGACAGTATCACTCAAGAGCATTGCTGTCAAATACATTGCAACTGAATGGTCTTAATTTTCCTTCAGGGTATATAGTTTTACAGCAAGGAAAAGATTTTAAAAAAATTAATGGGTATATTTCATGCATGCCAAAGGAAACTTAAGCATCTAAAAGTGATTTTGTTGCTATAAAGTCATAATATTAAGTATAGTTCTGTGATCCTTTGTAAAGGATTTTGCCTTATGAAGAATGTAAATGCTCCACATTAAGTTATAGGTTTTTCACATTATCACTAATTAGCAGTAATACTTTTTTAAAATTAGTAGACAAAATGAACATCTCCTGAAGAGGTTTGCATTTGGACCTCTTTCAGATGTGAGCAAATTTGACACAACTTTATACATAATAGTAATCCCCAACAAATTCAAGGTGCATCACAGCAGCTCAAAATTTTCTTGGCTTATCTGTTTTGTTTCCACAGCAGCGGCAGTTGATTGTATAAAACAAACCATCACATGGGATGGAAAACAAGTGATTATATAATAAAGGACTTGCATCAGCCAAATTAGAAACATGTTTGCAACAGGCGCTTCATTCCTAATATAATATGGGCCTGGCTCTTAAGATTGTTCACAACAATTAGAGACTGAATTAAACATCAATACATCCAAGAACCATTAAATTTACCCATTACCATCTTACAAAATTAAAGTGATTTAATATTGAAGAATTAACGTAGTATTTTAAAAACAAATGCCTCCCAAACACTATTCTACTTGAGTCAGAGTGGCCCTGATCCTCTAAGCTGGCCTTTTCTAATATTCCTCCTCCCCCTCCTATGTTTTAACCTTATTCCACCTCCCCCACATATACATTTCCCAAGCCTTTTTTAAGTTATTCATCTCAATACAAGGCATGCAGATCATAAGGTGTCACATCAGTTGGTTAGTATTTCTGACTCAGAATGACTCTACTGGAAACAGTATGGTTTGTATCAGCAACTTATATGAATGATAACCTCTCATCCAGACTAGAACATTACTAATTTGAGGCACAAACTTTTTTTAAACCTGATTTCTTTCGGTTTATTCTTCCAGATCATTGTCTGTAATTCTTCTCATTTCCAGTGTTTACTGACATTCATTCCTATCTCCAGTGCCCCATTCCATTCCTACCATTCACTATCTCATCTGATGAATAGTTTGAGCTCAGCTCACTGAAAATACAGCTCAGTTTTCTCTTTATGAATATATCACACTACCTAAAACTGATTGCTAACAAAAGGGGCTAGGTTTAGTCAGGGATTGGTGACATTAGATCTTTTTTCCCCTCAGGTCATGATCAGGAATGTACTTGAGTAAAGAGAGGTAGAAACAGATTCAATAGTAATGTACAAGAGTGAATTACAGAGGAAACATTTGCAGTGCTGTGTGAAACAAGGAATGTGGGACTAACTGGTGACTTTTCTGACGTGCATGTACGATGGGCTTCATGGCCTCCTTCTGTGCTGTATGACTCTACTTGTTCAGTAAGAAGTGAAACAGGGGCAATTAATCGTGCTATTCTTTAACAGTGTGTCTCAGTTGGTAGCAGCCCTTGACTTCAACTGAGGTTATGCGACCACATCCCAGTTGAAGACTTTAAACAGAATCGAAGATAACACTTCAGTGTAGTACCTAAAACATACTGAAATTCCAAAAGGTACCACCTTCAGACAAGATCATAAACAGACGTGTTTCTGTCTATTCAGTTAAGTAGTAAAGATCCTATGTCATTTTTAAAGAACCTGAGGACTTCTCCTAGTGTTCTAACCATCAATCATCACCAGAATAACAGATTAATTGGTCCTTCATCTCACTGCTGACATTGTTATCTCACTGGTCATAGTTTCAATTATGCTTGCCTATGTAACAGAGGCTGCAGTTCAAACACAGTTTAGATGAAGCACAGAGATGCTTCCCAGACACGGTGTTATTCCATAACACAAGTGACTTACCATTAGAAGTGAATTTTTTTCTCCTTCCTAAAAAGGGAACTTGAAATTTACTGGAGTATATTTGACCTTGAAATCCAGGCAGCTGAGAAACTTGAAATCAATAACATTCGTGGAAACACTCCTGTGGAAAGGGGTTAGCCAGAAGATTGGTTTTGAGGTATTTCAACAAAGTATTGCAAAAGAAAAAGTGCAAATGGCCACAGGCCAGTTTTATCAAAGGTTAACCAATCTGAAGAATGGTGAAGTCAAACCGTCAAATTTCATCAGAAGAAAAATGTTGAGATAAAACGAACAACCATTTTTAAATGTGATCAAGGAACAGGCATCTCATATTTGGTTTAAAAAGAAAGTATTCCATAGAAAAGGGACCCATCCAAACATTAAAAAAAACTGTCCGGAACCACAGCACAGAGAATGCTGGTGTGCTGAAATGTAATGGGCAACATTTGATTATCCCAACAGCTTAACTTAAGACACAGCAATTCTGTGAGAAAGGTAAGTGGGCTCAGCATAATTCTGATTGTATGGTGCACAAAACTATTTTCTTGTAAAAGGTAACAAATGTAAGACATAATATGTTATGACAAGTACGGAAATAGGAACAAAAAACAAACATAAGTTTCCCTTTCTTAAAAGAAAAACAATTAGGCATGATGCAAACAAAAGTGGATACCAGAATCACATATTTGCAACACCACACTGCTTGAGTCAATATGCCAATGAAAAGGAGTGCTTTAATGAATGGATATAAAGTCTCGGTTCCATTAGATACAGGGGGAAAACTGATTTCCCAGATTGAACAAAAGATTTGTGTCTTTACTTGGTAGGGACTGAAACTTGCACTGAAAGTTCTCTGTTGGATTGGACTTAGTGTACAAAAACACATTTTTCCTGATGTTCTGGAATTCTTCATTCATTGAATTATATGAGGTCAATAGAGAAGTCAGTTACTATTCAGCCCTAAACCTTGCCTCAGATTTTGCAGAATTGCTCTGGGGTACAGATCTGACCTTTAAACAACACACCATATGAAGAAAAAGACTTAAATTGATCCTTTAAAAGTGTTCTCTCTTGTATTAAAAGATACTGTTCTTTGAAAAGCAGATAAAAAATGAGAAAGTTTGGAATGCCACTCAGTGCCACCAAGCAGGAAAACAGATGTTGTTATACCATTCATCTTGAATTTGATCATACAAGAACCATGCAAATGTATTTGCATCTGAACAGAACCACTTAAGCTAAAAAGACACATTTAGACTAGACTGTTTATGCAGAAAGGTTATTTTAAAATCACTTCTACTAGCCATTTGGAGGGCAAGTTCCACTATTTAGGTCAGTTTTATACATGTTACCAAGACCTAATTCCAGTTATGGAATGAAGTACAGCTTAGTGCTTGTGACTAACTTGTTTATTGAATTGGGTGGGGTGGGGTGGGGTGGGGGGGGGGGGGGGGGCGGGGATGCTTGGTGGGGAGATACAGGCAAATGTTTAAAGGGATGTTTTGCTAATTTAAAAAGAAACATTTATTTCTCAGTCTCAAATGGATTCAAGCATTCCCTTGCAAGACAATGGAATTCCTTTAATAGGCACGAGCCAGTCAGTCACAAGGGGCAAGGAAACAAAGCTAAAAAGTTACGTTCCTTAATTCCACTGGTAGCAGTACCCAGAACAAAATGGATTGGAGTGGATTTAATAAAATATTTGATCTGAAGATGGACTAAAAGCTTGCAAACATTGTAGAAATGCGAGAAGTGGTAAGTAAAATTCTGCAACTAAAACAAAAGGAACTTTTTTTGGGGATTGTGTGCTGGGAGGGTAGGGGGTTGGGGGGATGGTTGATTGATGAAAATAGAATTCCATCAAGAGTCTGATTAAAAAAAAAATGTTGAAAGATGGTCGATGATATTTCAGCTTCTTAAAAAGAAAAGCTTGTGGGGAAAGCAGTTTAACAAACTGCCCCTCTGCTTCTGAGGTGCCCTGACAAGACAGGATTAAGGCCATGCAGATCCAATCCAGAAAACTTAATGTTCCATGTCCAGTTGTTTGACTGAATCACAAACGTCTGCACATACTCTTGAAAGAGAACGGAGACAAAAAGACACAACTACTTTTAACAGAATACTCACCGAGGCAGATTTAAAATAAAAGATATTTCTAAAGGGATACCCCGCACTCCCCAAACAAAGAGCAATAAATTGTCCCACAGGGGTCACATCGGCTTACGACATTAAAAAAAATGCCATTTGTGCCTTTGGGGACTTGGTGGAAAACCTTATTTAAAGCTATAAATGACAGTGGTTAGTTCATGATGTGGAGGTGCCAGTGTTGGACAGGGGTGGACAAAGTCAGAAGTTAGTTCATAACAGCACTTTAATCTCAAGTGTCCTTTTCTAGATGGCTTACAGCTAAAGAAATCAAAAAATAATAGAGGCCCCACACAAATCCCTTATGTGGTAAGGAACCTGTTAGTAGGATCCCAGCCTAGAGCTGCTCACCCTTGGGGAAAGAAATAAAAATTGCAGAGAAATGGGGAAATATAATGAATTTTACAAAGAGTTTGGAGATGTCCACTTACCCCCAAAGTAAGAAGGTCATGAAATTCCTGATTTTGTACAAAAAACAGGAACTTTATTTAAAATGGGGAACTGAAAAAAAAATGCTGAATATAGAAACAATTCTACTGATCTATAATTATAAAGAATTATGATCGAATACGAAACTATGAACGTACCCAGCCTGAACAACTATTTAAAATAAAAGCACTTAGTGCTCACTGATCGAAGCGAACGTGTGCACAATTTTAAAAAAGACACTTGTGCGTGTCACTGCATCTCTTCAAGAATTCGGCGATCCAAAAATGGTCTGGGACTGCTCAAAACATGCATATACAAAGAAAAAAAAACTATGTGCCTCAACTTTTAGTTCCTCAGGAGCATAAACTTAGAAACCAACCTCGACATTAAACACGAAGTTTTTTTTAAGGGGAAAATAAATCACGTTTGCTGCAAAAATAATCAGTTTTGTTGCAAGCTCCCTGCAGTTGTTGAGGAAAAACAGTTCGATTTCGGGGACAGAGAGAGAGAGCTGGGCAACAAGTTTCAATAGATTCAATCCTTGGTCATCTGACTAACTCCGTGATTTCTACATCACCTCAACGATTTACCTTTATCAAACTAACTCCAAAAAAGAGTTCCATTGAGTCAAATAATAAAAAAAAAATCGAGTTTCAAGTCTCACTCCTTGTTTTTTGTTCCCCCCTGGAAATCCACTGGCAAGTCGAATCAGTGACAACTATAGAAACAAAAAAAATTCTCAAGTAGGATTTTTTTAAATACAAATATATAATTAAATTTTTTTACAAATGCTATTTACAGGTTTTATTACACCTTGGGAAATTATCCTAATGCAAACGTTAAGTAAAACTTTGTGTTTCTTCTTAAAAAAAAGGAGAGAGAAAACAAGAAAGAGAGTCCCGTGTTAAGTTCAGTCCCGCTCTCTCACACGGTGGTCTCACCGTGTTTGCTGTTGGTGAGCCGAGTGTAGAATTTGCGCCACGAGTGTAAGGTCTTGCCCGACCAGATCCAAAAGCCCGAGGTGATGCCCACGATAAGGGTCATGAGATATTTGATCATGTAAACCGTAAAGTCCGGGGTCATCCTGGGGTAGTAGTGGAGGGGGCAAGGGATGGCATAGCTTTTGCAAGTCTGACTAACCCAGCTCCTCTCCCACTGCTCCCTGAACGCTTGCTCGTAGAAGTAGCAGGCGATGACGATGGTGGCGGGCACGGTGTAGAGCACGCTGAAGACCCCGATCCTCACCATCAGCTTCTCCAACTTCTCAGTCTTGGTGCCGTCGTGTTTCATGATGGTACGGATGCGGAAGAGCGAGACGAAGCCGGCCAGCAGGAAAGAAGTGCCGATGAAGAGGTAGACGAAGAGCGGAGCCAAGACGAAGCCCCTGAGCGGGTCCAGGCTGTTGAGGCCCACGAAGCAGACCCCGCTCAGCAGGTCGCCGTCGATCTGCCCCATGGCCAGGATGGTGATGGTCTTGACCGCCGGCACGGCCCAGGCCGCCAAGTGGAAGTACTGAGAGTTGGCCTCGATGGCTTCGTGACCCCACTTCATCCCCGCCGCTAGGAACCAGGTGAGGGACAGGATGACCCACCAGATGGAGCTGGCCATGCTGAAGAAGTAGAGCATCATGAAGAGGATGGTGCAGCCCTCCTTCTTGGTGCCCTGGACCACCGTCTTGTAGCTGTCCTCGGAGAACTTGTCGTTGCAGACCACCCGGTTACCCAGCACGAATCCCGCGATGTAGGCGATGGACACCATGGTGTAACAGCCCGACAGGAAGATGATGGGCCTCTCCGGGTAGCGGAACCGCTGCATGTCCACCAGGTAGGTGGTGACCGTGAACAGGGTGGACGCGCAGCACAGGCTCGACCAGATGAGGATCCAGATGCGGGCGAAGCGGATCTCCTCGTCGTTGAAGAACATGTAGCCGTCGGCGCGGGAGGGTTCGCACGGGGCGCCACACTCCTTCTCGCCCAGGAACTGGTAGTTGAGGTACGAGGGGACCTTGAGGGCCCGCGGGCAGTGGAAGGGCTGCTGGCGTTCGGAGCGGGGCGGCCTCGGGGTGCCCAGCTCCTTGACGCTCAGGGTGGGCAGGCTAGTGACCAGGGCACCTCCGGCCGCTCCTCCTCCACCTCCTCCTTCCTCCGAGTGGTTCTGGCCCACGCACAGTTGCTCGGTGCCGTGCACCGGGAAGTTCTCGCAGCGCAGCCGCTCCGGCCACTGGAAGCCGAATTTGTTCATCAACGCCTCGCAGCCTTGCCTGGCCCGCTCGCAGATCGAGCGGCACGGCGGGATGGCCTGCTCCAGCACCGTGCACACCGGCGCGTACATGGAACACAAGAAGAACTTGAGCTCGGGGGAGCACTGCACCTTGACCAGCGGGTAGAACTGGTGCACTTCCAGCCCCGCGTCCTCCTGGTTGGTGTGCCCCAGCAGGTTGGGCATGATGGTCTGGTTGTAGGCGATGTCGGTGCACAGCGGGATGGAGATGGGCTGGCAGAAGCCATGGTCCGGGATCGAGATGCCCCTCTCCCCCTGATATTGCCCCTTCACTCTCCCAGAACCGCACAAGAGCGGCCACACCACACTCAACAGTCCGCCCAGCAACACGTTCAAATGCATCCCTCCAAACAGAGACTCCAATTGTTTTTCTTTAAAGAATAATTTTTAAATAAAAATCACAAGAGTCCTCCTAAGTCTCAGTCAATTCTGCAACATCTGGTAGCTCGTTTTCTTTTTTGTTTTTGCAGAAGAAAATCCTGAGGAGAGGTGGAGAAGGAAACTTAAGAGGAGTCCACGCTGCTGACCAGCTCCACGCACTCACTCGCTGCGCCCCCGTTAAACGACTGTCTGACTTTTTCTTTGTGCAACTAACATCATCTCAATTACACCGTTTCAAGGGACCCGCTCGAGGAGGCAGGGCTGCTGCAGAAAGAAAGGCGGGGGGGGGGGGGGGAGGAGGACGAACCTTGAAACAGACCCACAGTGCACCCCACCCCCCCCCCCCCAACCCAAGCCAGCCAATCAGGTTAAAAATTGACGACCAGCCCTCAGGGCAGGATTGGCTAACCGCAACATCATAATCTCAGTAATTAGATGCCAAACTACACCACCTTCACTTAAAGCGGCAGCTTGCTGGAGGAAGTGTACTGTGTGGCTTTGACAACAGTCCTCCCGATTACTGCAATTTACATAAGAAGCTCCTTGGGCTCGAAAAGTCTCGGGGAGAGAGAGAGAAAAGAAAGAAACGCACAAAAACTTTTAAGGAATCCCTCTTGCGTCTAGTTTTTTTTTTCAGTTCCGCCGTGCTTTCAATCTCAAGAGAGTCTGTGCTTTTCCAACTTTCAATGTGGGAGATGGCGCTGCAAATCTTTCGCCTGCTTTCCCTCACCCGCCCCCCCCACCACACCAACTTTCTTAAAAGAAATACAAGTGCCGCTCATCCAGAAGGGATTCAGCGCCGTTGAGCGTGTGCGCATTTCGAGCATATCCACAGGGATAGGAAGGGGAAGATTGGGAAGCGGTATGGGAGTGATCTTCCCAACAGGGTTTTGAAAGGCGAGAAGTGGAAATATTTTCACTTGGGGGAGTTGAGTACAAGGCTATAAAACAGAATAAATTCAATAAAGAGTTGTGGAAGAAATTTAATTCAAGGCGTGGTGATGTGCTGGAACGCACGACCACATAGAGGAGTCGAGGCAATAGGTATGGATGCATTACAGGCGAAATTAGATGTGTGCGTGAGGGATAAAAGAGGGATATGTTGGTACTTAAAGCGAGATGAAGGTAGGAGGAAGCTGGCGTGGAACCTATTACATCAGATGACTTGTTCCTTTGATAAACTCCATAAATCCATCTAAAGTATGATTAGATTGATTGCTATTTCATTCTGTGCCCCACTTTAAAGTATGTGAAGTAAATTCTTCTGTAAAAATACGATTAACAATTCATTTCCAGTATTAGGGGTGTGCAATTAATACTTATAATATTGAACACTCTATTAGACGTTGGTGTGGAAAACAACACATTATGTGAGAATTTCAGCCACGTATTACTGAGGATGCCTCGGTGTAAAACTTCTGCAAGCCTTTAGGAATTTTTAGATAGGACTTCAAGCACGAACTGCAACCTATAAATCTAGGCACATTACTTATGTGCATCTGATTTATATCAAGTAAATGCGTGCGTTAGGTCTGGAATTTTTGCATTAAGGTATTTGATAGCAGTTCCTGATCAGCAGATTTCTTTGAATCCATTTAAAGTTATCTGGACTACTTGAAGCATAAGGAAATCAAAAGGCCATTTGATTGCACTCAAGAGGTTCCTCTGCCATATAGATCATCGACTCAAATAAAAAAAACAAGCTGGAAAAGCAGAACCGTTTTGTCTGACACATGTCGCTGCCAACATTTCAACGGCTTACCTCCACCAGATGTTTGGTGGAAATTCCATTTACATGTTTAACCAGGATTTATATTGCACACTGGCACCGTTACAGTGACACAGCAGGAACAGCTCTGAGGAAATTCGGGCCAGTGGTGTAGCATTTTGGGCAGGATCATTAGTCAGAATCGCACAGAAATATCCTAACTGAAATATGAGTCTTTTCTTTCTCTTTCAGACAGTGTTTCTTGCCTGAATCTTTTGCTTTCAAAGGCTCGGCAAACCCGTTGAGAATAGACTGGTGTTTATAAACCATAATGCAAGTCCACACCATTTGACACTGAACCAATTGCTATGTCTACAGCGCAAGTTCAAAACAAAGTTATATCTGTAGTACATGTGGAATTGAGGCTGCATTTTATTAAGTGGTTACATCTGAGCAAGCAGTCACTCTCTGAACCCAAATAGTTTAGTGTGAACACGGTTTTGGAGATCCCACTGGTTCAAATGACCGGTATGTCTGTTGTGTCTTTCTGTCATTTCTAGCATTTGTTTTACGTTTGCAATGGCCTAGATTCTATATCTGTTTTAGAAGTCTAATCGTTCATAAACAAAAGGAGATTTTTTAAAAAAATCAATTTCCATTCCATTTCTACTTTTACCCAGAGTTCTTGGAAGAAAGTTTAGAAATCTAAACCTTCCTTTCCAGTGTCACAGGCCCTGTATACATTGGGGTGAACATTTCTTCAAACTTACAAGTCCATTCTCTCCTCAAAACATTTTAATTTAAAGTGATATTTTATAGATCATTTCTAAAACTTTTCTTTCACTTTACAATTGCTAGATTTTAAATCTGAGAAATTTGGTGGCAAAAGATTACATTTGGAGTTACAGTAATCCACATTCAGGAGACTAATTAAACAATCACTCTCTCTTTCTAAATTTGCCAGACAGTCTCCTTCAGAGCATTGTTTCTTTTCTTCACTACTCTTTCAGAATATGAGCTGGTCATTCAGCCCATAGAGTCTATTCTGTCATTTGCTTAGATTACAGAAGATATATATGTTAAATCATCCACCCAGCTTGGCTCCCTCAGCTTTATTAACCTTGCTTAACAAAATAGGTGGAGCCCTTTTCTTCCCTCCCCAAAAAGGCATTTCTCCCTTCACAGCAAAATTATACCTCCTGTAATATTCTGAGCTTACTCAAGGAATCTTTTCCTGAGTTCACATGGATACCTTTCATATTTTTTCCACTTTTTGAAGTTGGCAGAGACACTCCTTGTATAAAGGCTCTGAGTTCAAAAAGATGCTCTTCTAACCTCCTCACTCAAGTCACAGAGGTGCCCTGCCTCCCTTCCTCTCTAACACATTTCTTCCCATTGGTCTTTTCTCCACTTCTTAATTGGCACCACTATCAGCAGCTGAGTCTAAGCCCCATGTCGATTCAGTGAAATTATTGTGAGATTAAGTGTCCCTGTCCACAACCTGTGGTTCAGAGTCTGTTCAGAGGATAAAGCAACAGCATCAGGTGAAAGCTGGATGTTAAGACTGGCTGTGCAAGCAGCATCAGGGAATTGGAACATTAATCACCCATTGAGATGGCAAATCAACTATTACAAATCTCATGATTCAAAGGTTCATTTGCTACCACAAGGGGATAAGCACATACATTTCAACAATGGCCTGGCTGCACTGCTACTTCTATTCATCCAATTCTATCATCCAATTCAGTGAATGGACATTCTGAGAACATTTGGAGGAATTACTCTTTTGTTAACAAGACAAGCATTTATTGCCTGTCCTTTATTGCCCTTGAGAAAGTGTTGGTGAGCTGCCTCCTTGAATTGCTGAAAACCATGTGATGTAGCTAAACCTACAGTACTGTTAGGAAGTGACAGTGACAGTGAAGGGATGACAATACAGTTTGAAGTAAAGATAATGTGTGACTTGGATGAAACTTGCAGGTGGTGGTGTTCCCATTCACCTGCTGCTCTTCCCGTTTTAGGTCATGAGCTTGATATCGAGGTACACCTTTGTGAGTTGTTGCTGTATGTCTTGCAGATAGTGCACATTATTGCCACAGTGTGCCAGTGTTGGAAGGAGTGAATGTTTAAGTCAATAAAGAGGGGTCATCAAGAGACTGTTTTGTCCTGGATTGTACATGCTTCTAGAGTGTTATTGGAACTTTATTCCTCCAAACAAGCATTGGGTATTCCCTCACATTTCTGACTTGTGCCTTGTGGATGGTGTATTGGCTTTGGAGTGTCAGGGGGTGAGTTACTCATCATAAAATTTCCAGCTGCTGACCTGTTGTAATCATAGTATTTATATGGCTAGATCAGTTAAATTTTCAGTCAATGGTCACCTCCAGGGTATTAATTGTGTCCAGTGACAATGACATTCAGTGTAAAGGAGAAATGGTTAAATTTTCTCTTGTTAAACATGGTCATTTCTTAGCACTCATGTTGCACAGATGCTACTTGCTTCCTATCTAATAAAGGTTGAATGTTGTTTAGATTTTGTTACATCCTCACAGGGATTGCTTCAAAACCTAATAGATTTGTATACTGAACATTGTGCAACCATAGCAAACATCTCCACTTTTCATGTTATGGTGAAAAAGGCAATTGAGGAAGCAGCAGAAACGGCTGGATCTACAGCACTACCCTGAGGAAATCCTGTAATGATGTCCTGGAGCTGAGATTATTATACCTCAATAAATGCAATTATCTTCATTTGTGCTAGGTATGCCTCCAACTAGTGGAGAGTTTTCTTCTGATTCCTATTAAGTTTTAATTTGTTAGAGCTACTCAATATCACACTCAGACAAATTCTAGCTTGATGTCAAGGGCAGTCACTGTCATCTCAACTCTAGAATACAGCTCTTCTGTCCAAGTTTGCACCAATGATGTAATGGGGAATAGTGCTCCAGACTTCAGGTTTGTAAATCATGATGCACATGAGTCATATAGAATGGCTAGTGGTGTGATGACAACATATTAGAACACTGGTGGCCACACCAAGCAGGAATTAAGTGAGACAACAAGGTGCAGGGCTGGATGAACACAGCAGGCCAAGCAGCATCATAGGAGCAGAGAGGCTGACGTTTCGGGCCTAGACCCTTCATTCTCATTTATATGTATAGTACTGTTCCAGTATGTAAGATTGCACATCTCTTCCTATATTAGTGATTTGAAGGAGTTGGCTAAAATCTCTTTTCCTTACAAACTTTCTACCCTCTTCTGCTCTCACTTTCTGGGAATCCAATCTCTTGCTGATGTTTTCCTCCAGCATCCTCTCATCTTGTTTAATCAGTTGACAATTACTTGCAAACTCACTTGATAAATCTTGGCAGGCTATGTAACTGCACAGATCCATTCTGAATCAAACAGTCTATTAATTCACGTGAGCTCTGCTTCTTCCCAATTCGGTTATCCCCCTGACCATAACAGCCCTGCCTTGGCTCAGTTACTTCAGTGTAGATCATGGAATAAGGCTTAAAAATATACAAATTGTAATTGAATACCAGAAGTGTTCTTTAAAATTGAAGGTCATTTTTCCTGATAAAGGGTCCCAACCCGAAACATCGACATTCTTGCTTCTCTGATGCTGTCTGACCTGCTATGCTCCTCCAGCTCCACATTTTATAAACTCTGACTTCCAGCATCTGCAGTCCTTGCTATCTCCAGGTCATTTTTCCTATTTATTTGTGTGTCTCTTAGGATATAGATCTGCTAGCCATTAAGGTTACTAAAGTTTTCAATTACTTTTCATCATTAAAACATTGTAACTCAAACTGATCCAGCCCCGCTACCCATCCAGCCACTTAAAGCATAAAATAAATACATCACAAGTCAGTTAGACAGCTTCTACTAAAATATTTGCAATAGA